TAATAGGAAAAACTGGAAACATTCAAGCATCTGTCAATACAACAATGGATCAATAAACTGTGATACATTCATTCCATGGAAAGCCTAAAGGAACAAACTGCTGACACACAAAACAACACGGATGAATCTCAAAAACATTTTCAGTGCAATAGGAGCCATACACAAAAGAGTGTGAGAAAAGAGATGAATAATCATGGTCTCAAGAAATGCAGTGCAGAGAGCCCAGAGGCGAAGACTCACAGGACAGCCGGTCGGTCCCAGGCTGTGGATCCTAATTTAAAAACTCCTGCTGGATTTTGCCCAGCTCCATTTCCAAACTATTGTGGGTCAGTGACTTCTTTATCCCTTCCTTGTTCCCTCATTTTCAACTAGAATCACTGTAGTTGTTATTCCGTGTCTGTCCCGTCATTTCACATTAGGGGCAGATAAGCTGTTCGTTCAGTTTCACAGGTCGATGGAGGAAAGGGAATTATGTCAAGGATCTGTACTTAACGGACACCCTCAGAAGCCTCATCCACACCTGGTGTGGATGTTTTAAATGGGATTTTAAACTTTTCATCTGATGTGGTCTACATGACATTTTTCATGTTGAACTAATGCTTTAATGACATGAAATTCGGAAACCTTAGGGGAGAGGGTGAATGCATTTCGCAGTTGGGGGAATGTGAATACTGCGGTAGATGGAATTTCTGAAATGGTCCCCAAACATGCCACACCCTTGTCTCTAAAGCCCGTTAAGGTGATGAGACACCATTCCTGTGATTATGTTGTTATATGCCAGTTATATGACTTTAAGCTGGTGAGGTTACCTGCATGCACTGGATCTAATCACATCACTCCATACATGACAACTTTCTGGGGCTGGTTGGAGAAGATGAAGTCAGAGAAGATAGGAGCTTGAGAAGGACTCCACGAGCTGCTATTGGTTGATAAAGGAAAAGACAGATAAGGAGGAAAGCAGGGGACCTCTGAAGTCAGAGTGTCTCCTGGCTGACAGTCAGCAAAGATGAAGGGCCCTCAGTCCCCCACAAACAAGCATAGGAACTCTTTCAATATCTGTAGTGAACTGGGAGAAATAGCTTAAGTTCTAGAAGAAAACACAGCCAGCCCATTCCTGGATTTTTGCCTCACATGACTCTGAGCAGAGAACCCAGACACTTCATTCCAGACTTCTGTGGTTTCAAACCACTGGTTTACAGTAATGTGATAATTGGCAGCAAGAGAAAACTAGTACAGGTGTCTGTCTCTCCTCTTGAATTTCAATTTCAGACACATGGATGCTAACCCCTCTATGAGAGAAAATCAATCAACCAATCAATGAATGAAAGAACTATTGCAAAAATATTGCCCTCACTCTTATGTGGCTGTTCCAGAGCCCTTGCCACCTGAAGAAGACAATGAGGGGTATTTCAGGCACATGGGGAGTGTGGCTTTACCGTTATCAATCACATTTCTGAAAGCATAAAAATGGTTCAGGTCGGGCCGTGGCTCATGTCTGTAATCCTAGCACTTTGGGAGGCCAAGGCAGGTGGATCACTTGAAGTCAAGAATTAGAAGCCAACCTGGCCAACACGGAGGAACCTTGTCTCTACTAAAAATACAAACATTAGCCAGGCGTAGTGGCAGGCACCTATAATCCCAGCTACTCAGGAGGCTGAGGCAGGAGAATCACTTGAACCCAGGAGGTGGAGGTTGCAGTGAGCTGAGATCGCACCATTGCATTCCAGTCCATGGAATAGAGAAAAACTCCATCTCAAAAAGGAAATAAATAAATAAATAACAAATAAAGATAGTTCATTACTTAACTCCACATATTATTACATGAAAATGTATCATCTCGATTTTAACAGCAGATTTTTAAAAATTCCTTTCCTTGTGCTCACCAGACAAGGTCTGGTAGCAAATACCGGTCACCAACACAGATGAACCAATTCAAGGAGAGCCATAAACAGGACTACTGTTATGTGTCCCAAAAAAACCATCCCTAGAATGCAATCTCTTCTCTACTTGTCACAAAATGAACACAATAGTCCACTATATAAAGTCCCAAACATATGAAAATATAAATACAATGAAGTCTGCTTTCCAAATATTCATTCTATTCAGACCCAGTCATGGGGACCAGGGATTAGGAAATGACTACAAAGAGATTCAAAGGAATTTGGGGAAGCGACAAAATGTGCTGAAGTAGAAACTCTGCTGATGGCTGCACAATTCCATAAATCAGCTGAAATGATTGAGTCGTATGTTGACAACGGGTGACTTTTATAACAAGTCATTCTTTAAACGAACTTTTGGGTTTCTAGTCCAACATGGAAAGAGCTAGGGAGCCATCACTTGTCCTCACAGCTAGCAAAAGGCTACAAGGTGCAAAACCCTAAGAATCCTAGGAGATAACATTCGAGAAAATCTCACGGATCTTGGGTTCAACGATGGCTTCTTAGATACAAAACCAAAAGCACAATATACTAATGAAAAAAAATTAAGTTGAATCTCATTAAAATTAAAAACTTCTGCTCTGTGAAAGACACTGTTAAGAGAATGGAAAAAGCAAGTCACAGACTGGCAGAAAATATTTACAAAATAATCTGGTAGGAAAACTTCTCTCCAAAATATATGAAGAATTCTGAGAACTAAACAACACAAAGCCAAAAAAAAAGAAAAAATTGGTGAAAGATCTGAACACCTCATTAATAAGATACACAGATGGCAAATAAGCATATGAAAAAGATGCTCAAAATCATTTGGCATTAGGGAATTGCACATTAAAACAAAAATGAGATATCACTGTAAACCTACTAGAATGGCTAAAATTCAAAAAGGTGAACACACCAATGCTGTCAAAGATGAAAAGCAACCAGAACTCTCCATAGCCAGTAGAAATCAAAAGGGTACAATCACTCTGGAAAACTTAAGTTCACTCAGAATCCTGCACATAAGTAGTTACAGCAATTTTATTCATAATTGCCAAAACTTGGAAGTACCCAAGATGTCTTTCACCAAGTGAATGAATAAGCAAACTGTGTTGTAGCCCCACAACGAAATCTGATTCAGTGATTTTAAAAAGCAAGCTATCAAGCCATGAAAAGACATGGAGGAACTTAAAGTAGACAATGCTAGAAAGAAGCCTGTCTGAAAACCTACATACTGTACAATTCCAACTCGAGGACATTCTTGGAAAGTCAAAAAGATAGAAGTAGTAAAATGATGAGTGGTTGTCAGGAGTGGAGGAGAGGTAGACGCATGAAATGGTGAAGCACAGGGAATTTTCAGCAGTGAAATTATTTTGCATGATGCTGTATTGGGGATTTAGGACACTATGTAATTGCCAAAACCCATAATCTGTGAAACTCAGATGAACTCTGATGTAAACTATGGACTTTAGTTGATAATGATGTATCAACAGCGGTTCATCAATTGTAACGAATGGACCACACTAATACAACATACTTATAGGGGAAATTGTGTCCTGGAGGACATGGGAGCCTAGGGGAACTCTCTGTACTATCCACTCAATTTTTCTGTAAACCTATAACCATTCTAAAAAATAATGTCTATTAATTTTTTTTTAAAATAGGATGCAGCAGTCGCATATCAAGGTTCTGGTGGCATCCTGTTATTGTGTGGTTAGTACTTGGCATTGAAGTGCACCAACCTGGAGTCAGAGCATTTGGAGATTTCCAGGCCTATGCCATTTACCTCGAATCCTGGGGTGCCCCGGAAAACAGCAGATCAGTTAGGGAGAAGCAGCCTCAGCAATCTAGACAGTGCAGGTTTGTGGTAAAGACACGTACAAACCATCTGGGTGGGCAGACCTTGGTGAAGACTAGAAACCACTGAGACTCAGCAGCTACCCCAGTGGAACCCACAAATCAAAGGAGGGGCTGGGAGGAGCTAAGGGCTACTGGACGAGCTCCCTGCCTGCAAGACAGAAGCAGCTCCAGAGATTCTGGTAAATAATGTAGGTTTCAATACAGTGTGATCTACTCAAAAAAGCAGAGAGAATGAAAAGGAAAGAAAAAGAGAGAGCATGAGAAAGAAAGAAAAAGAAAAGCAGAAAGGAAGAAAGGAAAGAAGGGAGGGAGGGAAGGAGGAAGGAAAGGACCAAGGGAGGGAGGGCGG